TGCCATTTCTACCCCCTGTCCCCATGTTATGGGACAGAAATACGGTCTACTGCACTGTATTTGACTTTGAAGATCAAGCCAACAACAAACCATCCTTAGATTTTAAATTTCACAGAATCGTAGGAAAAGTTAGCCTAGGAGGAACACCTGGAAGTCATCTAGTCCTGTTTGCTGCTTACAGTGGGATTAACGTCAAGCTGGATCAGCTTTCTCAGAGCCTCCTCCAGGTGAGGTTTTGAAGAGCACCTTGGATGGTGACATGCTCTGCTCTGAGCACTTCCCAAGAATACGTGGCTGGGAAGGTGTGAAAACAAGATGTGAGATGGAGTTTAGCACTAAGCATGAAGTGGGTTGACAATGAACTACAGTATCCAAAGTCAGGATGTCAGCACCCCAGTTTAATCCAAGTCCTGCTTCAGTTTCTTAAGTCCCTTTTTTAGATCAGGCTCTTGGCTTCTCTGCTCGTTTCCCTGACAGAAACTTTGCAAAGAACAAGAAATTTGAGATGTCGTTAAATTAAGGCTCTTGAGAGTTGCATGCACGTACGCACACATGGAGGATTAACTCCAATGTCCAAAGGAACTTAACATTTGGTGCTGCTTTCAAAGTTGCTAACAACATACACGAAGTTCCATATGCAGTGACAACCACCCTACCATGATAAAAACTCTGATTTCAGACATACGAGCACTCATGATAAGGAAATAGGAGTATGAGGAAACAAAGAATTTGGAAGATGACCAAATGTGCAAGATTAACAGTGGAAAGAAGTAAAAGAGTGTCCTGGTTCAGCACTAAAATTAAGCATTTTCAACTTAAGCAGACTGAAACATAAATACATTATTCCTTGCTTACCCAAAAGGTAAGCTGACCTTCCATACCATATCTAGACCATAGCTAGTCATGAGCAGTTCACCGGTTCAAAGCTGTCAAAGCATATGTAATTAAGAAGAATTAACATGAGACTTAATTAGAAAGTGTTATTTTATTCATATCTTACAAAAGCAAAGCTTCACAACATGAACTACACTAGATATAGTCGAGTTATTTCAGAATTAACCTTGTAATCTGAAAACATTCACTACACAATAAAATTTATTTCACAACTCTAACAGGTTTCATTTTTGCATACAAAATATGCTCTTTACACTGAAATACATATTAACAAAGCAGGTACTTAGAAGCACATACACAAAGATTGCTCAATGAAAAACGTTTCAGCAGGGAATAGATTTCCTGCAGCAGAACATCCATTTGCTGTAGATTTCCAAAGAAGCTTAAAATTAATAGAAAACTTGCCAGTGAAGACTTCTAAATTACATTCCCTTCGTCAAAAAGAAACAAAAAGCAAACAAGAAAACCCCCCAAACGTTCTGGAACAAAACAAAGAGCAACAGATCATTTTGCTAGGAAACACTGTTGGAACGTGTCTTCCAGTACTGATTTTTATGTTAAAATGCCAGTCAACATTTTATGTCAAAATCCTCTTCATCTAAACATTGTATCTGTGAAAAAAAACAACTATTTTTCCCTATTAGCTGCTTCACAGTTGGTTTAAGTATTGAGATAATCTACCAAGATCTTCAGTCTAGTATTTGCATGTTCATTGGAATATTCAGTCTCAAAATAATGTCTGTATTAAGAGTACTATAAATAGTGCATGTTGAAAATTCAACAAATCTATAAAATAATTATTACAATAAAAAGAAAAAACCCACAAAGTTAATGTTTTGCAATTACAGAACTTAACAGAGTCAAGCTATGGAAAAATTTCAGCGCATTCCCAAACTTCCCTGTTAATACAAGTTAAAATGCTAATCACCACCTTATAATATCAGGATTTGGGTTTCAAAAAAAAAAAAAAAACAAAAAAACAACCAAGTCAGTGCAGTGTAGCACGTGGAGAACTCAATATGAAAACTCCTAACCGAGGACTCGATCCCACAATTCCTGACAAGTATCCCTCACTGACTCTGAGAAAGGCCTGCTTGTGCAAGGGAATCGTCAGGATGATACTCTAAAACAATTTTCCAGTACTAACTCTGGTCTTTAAATTATAGTAAATAGTATGTACAAAATTATGAAAAACTAATATGAAAATACACCTCCCAAACCTACTCAATAGACAGAAGGAAACAGATACAGTCAGGGTACCGTTTGGCACAACTGTAAGTACTATGTCGAAAAATTAAGAATCCTAGTCCAGAGGGTGGCCCTCTGTGAAGGCCTAGGACGTCAGCATGGGCCCACCCCACAGATCCGGTTGCAGAATCAAGGGGTGAACACCAAAGCCTGCAGCCGCCTAAGAATCCCCCCTGCAAACAGAAGCTTGCACAAGGAAAGAAGGAAAAATATTTTTATCATTGTTCAACGGTTCATAGATGTTCAAGCTAATTTTCTTTTCCTTAGGTACTTCGAAGCAGAAACAATGATACTAAGTCAGCAGTATTAAAGTACTTCTGAACAACAATTTGCAAGGTTTGGGGTTAGATTTTTTTTTCATACTGAGTTCTATTATTAAGAACATACGTTCCCCTGCACAGAGGATCCCCTCCTAAACGAGGGCCCCTTTTCAGCAAGTTCATGCAGGCTTCCTCTTGCTACCAGCTACCTCTATTAGTGACCTAAATATTCTCCTATCTAAAATTTCGTTCGGGGACATCATGGTTCAGAAGTCATTTTTCTAAATCGCCAAATCATGAGCCTACACAAACAGAAAAGTCTATAATGTTTACAGGGACTGCCAATGAAAGTCCTAATGGATCAGAAACCGCGTAAATGGAATGGAAGGATGAAATCTCAAAACATCTGTGCACATTGGAGTTCATCTCCCGAGAGGGAGAAAGGCTGGAGCCACAAACCAAGGAGAACTTGGCTGTTGCAATCTGCATCATTCAGTACTGGAAGGTGCTCCTTGGAGCACCACCATTTCAGAAGTTTCCTTGGAGTTGCTAGAGCCTAGGAACGTACATCAGCTATCAAAAGGCAAGGAAAATGACCTCTGTGAGTTACTAATTGTAATGGTCTTTAACAGTAACGTTTGTAGTTCTAACACCGTATTTTAGCTGCATTTAGATTTTAGAACGTGTCAATATGCGATCAAAAGAGAGCTATCATTTCTATGTTATTCTTTGACTGGAAGCACCATGTTACAAGACCTGTACAGGAACAGTAACTTCCAACTGGATTCTAGTTCATTCAACTTTTAGTCCTTAAAATAAAGGACTCTGTATGTTTATGCATAGGGAGTTGCTGTTTTGCTTACAAAAAAAGAGATATTTTGGAATTATAAAGAGTGTCATTATGAAAAATGAAAATTACACTCTGTTTTACAAATCCACCGAAATGGATTTTGAACCAGGCCTGAAACCAAAAACATTTTTAGGAATGATAGTGTGTTATCATTCATCTTCATTACATTGGAAATACTTCAATGTCGTATTTTTGACCTCATTACTACAAGACTATGTGCAGCCAGTTCCTTCAACTGGTTACTTAGGCATGGAAAATTCAACAGTAGGTAAGTTAGGTAGTGTGAAACATATTTCGTTCCCGGATTGCTAATTCGTTAAAGTCAAAATTACTTCTTAAGCTACAATTCTCAGAAGGCTGGTTTCTCCTGCGTTGATCTTACACTGCAGTCATTGTAAGTTTTTCCATTGGCTTCAGGAAGCTTTAGCTCCCGTAACAACATAAATTTGAATAAGCCAAACATTTGCTATTCAGATTCCAACCTCTGACTTGCAGAGCATTAAAAGCAGGAAGATTTTATTAACTAAACATATTTGCTACCATATTTTGCTGATAATAAAAGGGGAATATATAAGGGAAGCTTTAATTTGTCTCAAGTAAGACAAACCAAGGTAAAAGTGCATGTCTAAATATGGGAGAAGTAACAGTTCTTCACTTTTTTGAAACAGTACAAATTCCTGTGTAGCACATTAAGAGCTTTTATCAATTTTGCTAGGATGTTTTATTTAGGTTTATATTAAAGTGCCTGTCCGTTAGCCTAGGTGCTTCTAAAGTAAGATGTACAATATAAAAAAAATAAACATGTGCAATGGACTTCATGTACATCTTTAGTTACCATTTGCCACCTACAATATTAACCACAATGATTTCAAATGTTGTCAGCCAGTATTCCTTTGCCTACTACATGAACAGTCAGAAAACCCAGAAGCCCTTCCCCCTATTTCTAGCACACCAAAAGGACAACAAATCTGGGGGAGAGGACAAGACAAACTGACTTCCAAGTTAGCTGAAGTTTACAATAAACTAGATTACACAACTTTCAAACATACAGGCAACCTATCAGTTGTAGCTTGGCCCGAGATAAAACTGAACAAATGATTTTTAATTTGTAAACCTCTTGTTTGTTTCTATTAGAACTTCTATCAGCACGACAGAAGTCTAATTGTGCAAATTTTAAATATCTGTACAAATTAGTTTAAGGCAGTTAAAAACCTCACGGAATATATATTAGTTCTACAAGCTCCTTATTATGACTGTTTAAAAATTACCTCCTTTTAAAAAGGATGACATGTAAAATTTTGGTAAGTGTAGTTTAAAATAAGGTGTCAGGTTTAATTTTTCCTTTGTATAACTAGTGAATGACAAGCTTTTAACTCTCCTTTTTTCTACCAGAGTTTCATTCACAATAACCTGTTATCTTCTAGTTTTGTGACAAGTTTTAAAAATAATAGTTAAATTAGTGTTTGAGCCCGAGCATGAAGAGTTTAGACTATACTAAGCAAAAACTTATTATTAACCTTCATCAGAGTAAAGCAAGTTTTACATCAAATTGAATTGGTACGTGAAAGTTGCTTCTGTTTGTTTTCCCAGTTTGGAGTAGCTAAGTCTTTAAGGGTATGTCTGTCTCCAAAGTAACCATATGTATCATTGCATTAACCTTTCGTATTTTATGGTTAATATATTTTGTCTTGCCTAGTAAATAGTATGATAATTGCATCCTATGTTTCAGGACACACGCTCTGCTTCTACATTTGTAGACTGTTTATTGGGATTAAGTGCAAGCAACTTAAATTTAGCAACCAAAACATGTAAACGCATTCCAATTCTTATAGCACTCTCTCAGCTTTTTTGAAAGGCTACATATAAAATATCAACCACATCTTATACAAAATTTCCCTGGCAAGTTTTAAGACAGCAAAGAAATAAATTTGCCTCCTTTGTCGAATTGATTAACGTGAAGATTCCTTAAGGGAATGTGCAAGCTTTCCTTCAGCAAGTATGAAAAATATACTGTAATATGTTAAAAAACTAAATGAAAGCATGTTCTCAGTCAATGTTGACTATGTTGGCCTCTTGCAAAATGGCAAGCAAAGTCATACTTATTTTTACACTTACACCCACATATGTTGCACTGAAAAGGATTTTCAAATCCATGACATCCCATGTGAATAGTATAAAGGATATTGTCCGCAAAGTACATGTCACAGTGTTGGCAGTGATGCAGAAGCTGAGGGTCCTGAACCGGAAGGGTTGGAGCTGGAGTACTTGGTTGACTGTTGCTTATGCTGGGAGTACTGGTGTGGGCACTGCGATCACTGCTGGGACCTGCTACGGGACTATAGTTCCTTTGATTGTGTGTAGGCCGAGGATCTGGGCTGGTTGGAGATGAACTCTGAGGAATATTTGCTGACACAGCTGAAACTACTGCAGGTGCAGCAGGCTGCTGTATCATGAAAGGCTTTTCATCTTGACAGGAAACAACGTCAGGAGAGGCTGGATTTTGGTTTTCGGGTGGCAAGCTAGATAACTGTCCAGCTAACGTAGAGAGCTGGTTTAAAGGATTATCTACCATGAGGTCTTGTGGATCTCTTGGCAACCCACTGCTCTGGGTTGTTTTTGTCATGGTCTCATACGCTTCAGTCTGGATATTTGGGATTTCATGAGTGAAATCATTAAGGTAGTCTGGTTTCTGAACCACCATGGAAGGTGGACTCAAATTAATTAATGCTCTTCTGCTGTACCCCAAATTGCTGGTCTTCTTCTGCAAAACCCCCCACATTTTCTTGCTGCTTAGGGAAGACCTTGTACCCTTGATAGGCACCATTTTATGTTTGCGCCTGCGGTGGTGAGATAAGTTGCTTCTGTCACTGCAGCGAAAGGAACACAATTCACATTTGTATGGTTTTTCACCAGTATGCGATCGCATGTGAGCTTCCAGATGACGTTCATAAGCTGATGCAAAGGGACACAAATGGCATCTGTGTGGCTTCTCACCTGGAAAATTAAAATAGATTATACTATAGCATCGCAGAGTGCTTGAAAAAGGCTTTCCATGGAACAGACAGTAGCTAACTGGGAGCTGCTAATCAAACGGTTCAGCTTCAGAGTCACTGCTAGTCTTGAGTTTAGCTGGGTATTTGGTGGAAGAGTGGAGTAAATTTAGACATCTCTGCCTCACCCAAGTAATAGTAAGCGTAAGAAAAAAAACGTGGCCACAATTAGCATTAACAGATAACCTGACTAGGAATTGCAGCAACGATGCCAAGGACTGAATGCCATGATGTTTGTGTGGTGCTCTTAACTGGATCCAAACTCTACCTCCCCTATAAAAGCACATAAAAGTTGGCTACAGGAATGTCTGTACCACCAAAAGGTAATCATTCTTAATGATAACTGTGTTTAAACATTGAGGGAGAGTATCCTTTCGATATCTTCCAAACATTCCTACTTTTAAACATCCTGGAACTATTGTCTAAATAACCCGTGTACACATGCATTCAACTCAAGAACTGAATTTTGAAAAAGGATCCTGTGGCTAAAGAGTTATTAAAGAAAACAAAAGCTAGCTAATCCCTGGACAGCTGTGTGCTCTCTCAGACATGATAGTACCAGATATTCTCCTTTCTGATAGGCAGAACTTTGCTCTTCTATTAAATGCTATTTAGAGATATTCACATTAACAATTTTAAAACTACTTAGGAAACTTTCAAACGTAATTACGGGCCAACACATTTGTAACATAATACTTTGGGACTTTTGATTTTCCTTTCATAGACTGATCTTTTAGGAGTTTTTAGATCCAGGTTTGCAATGTTAGAAATGCCTAAAGGATTTGATGCATGTTCAGGTGCTGAAATGACCTGAATTTCTAAATGACTGTTGTGCAACTGGTTCTCTTGACACACAGCACAACTCCAAAAAAAAACGTGAGTGAGCTCCTTCTTTTCAGCCTTTATGGGTTTTTTTGAAGCATTTTCTACTATTTTAAATTCAGGGCAATACATCTGTTTTGTGGCTTTCAAAATCCAGCTAGAACAACTGTAAAAGCCAGAGATCTGAATGCAGCAAGGGCTATTACACTGCAAGCACTTGTACAGGCCCGGTAAGATGGCATGTGACTGACACAGAAAGCCCCTCCCATGCTGAGCATCCCACAGTTTGGAATCACAACTGGGATACTGAATAGAAGATTATTTTTTTTTTCCTACATCACTGGCTCCTCAAGAAGAAAGCAAGCAATTTTTCTGCTACCTCTAAGTACTTTATTTGCACCAAATGAAACAATGATTTTTCCATAAGCACATATATGTATTCAGATATATATGTGTGTGTGTGTGTGTGTAAAGATCTGGAGATTTGGTACAAACACAGCGATATAAGACAACTGACAAACTTCCTGCATTCACAAAGAATTGACAATCTGAATGGTCTTATTTCATTTTAAACTGGTTAGACAGAGATAAAGATTTGCATCCCCTGTTGCACACCCTTAATACAACACAGCTGGTGAACTATTAATTATACTGCTGTCAGACTCAGCATGAAGTTAATTCTGCAGTAAGTTGCACTTAATAATGGTTGCATGATCATGCCTGGGTCATAATTACTTTGGCTGATACCTTGCTGCACTTGCATGTTATCCAGGATGCATTATCTGTTTACTCACATTGCTCTGAGGCTACTAGTCACTATCACTTCCCTATTTTAACGCTGATTCAGTCACTCTGAGCCTTCATAGTCCATGCAATCCATCTCTTGGCCCTTTGCCACACTTCCCCACCACGCTTCTGAGCAAAACTACCCTCAGGTCTTGGATCTCCTTGCCCTCAAGTGAAAAAAAACAAGAAAACCAAACCAAACTAAAAAAACCCTTCCTTGTTCCACAGTCCCCTGTCTCTGTACAAAGGAACAAAACGGGGCTTTCTGAAGAGCCATTAAGATAATGGCAAAATGGTGTTGCCATCAGGACACCATGCAGTGCTGTATTAAACTTAAGGATATGAAATGTATTGTAAAAAGGCAAAGGGGAAACTATACATAAAAAGGTCTCTGGCAGCCTGAGATTCTTGTCTATATTATAAAACTGAAGAGCTTGGTATAGGGAAATGAACTGTTACCATTGCACAGTTACTGGTATTTCATTAGGCACCAGACATGTTCGAACCAGTAACCTGGCTATAAAGCATTCACTGTGTGAAGGTGTGTCCAAATTGCTGAAGTTCTTTGATACACAGTAGGCTGACATCTCCTGTATCCCTCTCTCACTGCTAGCCAGCTTTCTGAAACGGAAATAATTTAGACTGCACAATTTTGCAGTAGAGTGATGTGCGCCTTCGATTTGGCTACCTTTTCCTAGCACCTTTGTGAAAGTTTCTTTGATCAAATGAGTCATACATATACCCTCTGATAATGGGAATACCTGCAGCAGCATTGAGACAACAGCCATCCCACATGTAAAGCTCCGTTCTTCTGGTATAATGCTAACAATATCATATGCTACAACCATAAGAAACAACTCGAAATGTTAGTCAAGGCACAAACCTGAAGTATTATGCTTTGCCCTAAAAAACAAGTTTTTGTAGCTCATGGAATGTTTGCTTCTGAATAATGACCACAGGGTCAGAGATTTTTGAGGACATTTCCCAGCATCCCAATTTTTGGTTGGAATCTTTCTTGCTTTTGTATATATTATGCCACAACCATGCCGAAATGCTCATAATCTGCAGCTGGTATTGTTCTGCTACCTCTAGTGACTTAGTGATCTCTACTCCCTAAAGTAGCAGCAGAGTAAGAAAGCATTCTGAAAACACAAAAGAACTGTTAACCTAAGATCTGAGAGCATACAAAAGGTAGGCAACCTGCTAGAGTAAGAGAAGAAATGCTGACACTATACCAATACCCACGTATTGATATTTAAAGAAGGAAGATTTGATTTTTTGCTCTCTAGTATGTCTAAAATTTATGACATCTGTATTAAGTAACAACACATTATTTCAGTCGTTCTGTTTGAGGAACTCCATGCACACCAAAGCCATCAAAACATCTCAAGAATCAGCAAACACACAATACCAACATCTTCTAGTAGCAATTTATGTTTCCCGTCACAGCTCTAGCAGTCCATCTGCTCATGTTGACAACTGGCCAGTAGTAACCGTAGGCTTGGGGATGCAAGTTTTTAGATGGCAATAGCTATATGCTACTGAAAAGACATGAAATTTTAAAGTTGATGTTACTTCTACATCTTTAAGTACCATTTAAAAATCATCCTAAAGTGCTACAGTGAACCACGTAAGTCTGCAGTACAGTTTCTCCCACTACATGACCCTCATTTCACAAGCTCAGAAATAGAAGTGCACAACATAAAGCTGTTAAAACATCTCTTGTTGTCCACATACCATACAAGGCAAAGGATAGGTGAAGCTGTAACTGCTTTATGAAAAACTAGACAAATAAAATGCTCCATGCACACTGCTGCTTTACGGATCTGCAGCCAGCCATAGCATTAACGCTGTGCCAAATGCAGGCAACACAAGCCACAGGATTTTATCCACTATTGGAACTACACAAAATTTCCACTGGGAATCTGAAAACAGCAACAGCTACCCACAGAGGTAGCTCATGGTAGCACAAGAGAAGAACTTACAAGATATTCAGAGTCTGAACCTCAGAACTCTGATTTCTAGTTGGTTGCCATTTTCTATCCCGTTACACCTTGTCGAAACAAGCCTACACTGCAGGGCCTGTGCAAGGAGCACCGACTTTCCCAAAATACATCCTGGGAGTTACCGTGTAGAAGCAATAGCTCACAGCAAAGTGAGAATGTGACTAACAATAACTGTACCTAAAGAAAGCTACAATTACATCCAAGTTACAACAATGCGTTTCCTTCAAAGTGAGTCCCAGAACGCCACCTACCCAAGACGACTGAAATGATACACTTAAAAGTTTTGGGACAGTCCATACCAAACTGGAAACCTGTAAAAAAATCCATTTTTTGCAGAATACAATTTTTTTTTCTTATTACTCTAGTTAACAGCCATAAAGTCTTCTGTATCGGTGTAACAGCAGGCACCAAAGTCAGACTTCACAAGGACCTTTCGTTGGTTTTCTCTCATTTGCCAAGAAGTCAGAGCTGACTTCATGAACAGTTCAGGATATTTTAACTTTTATTGCGAGTTTTGCTTTTCAGTTTTATAAACCCAGCAGCGGCAAATGCTCTTAAGCAAGCCACAGTAAGTATTTTTTCTTTTCATTACTGTTAGTAATCATTTATTTGATGATATGCCCCCATATTTGAATATTCTACCAAGAAGAAAACTTTATTCTTATTACTGTTTTGTACTTCCACATCAAAAATGTTGTACAAATGAGGAGTATTTTCATAGCTAAACAACAGAGGAAGAAAAGCCCCTATAAATCTTCATGTGGCAGCACGTACATTTTTCACTTTTCTAATTAGCAAGGAAAAACTAAAAGTTACATTTAGGGCCCTTCAATTTACACTGATGCTTTCATGCTAAACTTTACTCCCATATATAGTTATTTCAAATTCAGCAGTCTGTAATAATAAATGTAAGTAGGAATTTGCATAATTTAAATAGGTAAATGGCACACCTTTAAAAAAAGTCTCTTAAAAAAAACCCAAAATCAGCTCTAATTGTTGAGTAACTCTAAGAACTATCACACTGCTTGAAGATGCTAACCCCTCACACGCAAATCATAACATTGAGTTAACACCACAATGCCTCACAGCAAAGTACTGCAGAATATTTCATACCTGTATGAATTCTGATATGCTCTATGAGCCGTGCTGTTCCTTTACTGGCATAGTTGCAGTATCGACACTTTAACTTTCCATCAAATGTCCTTTCAAAGCCATCCACTAACATTCCTGAGTTTTCATCCAGTGAAACTTCAACAGAAGGATGATCCAGACCATTCTGATCACCTTCTGTCCCAGCTGTGAATAATGCAACAGAGATTTCAGTCGAGAATCAGTGGGATACTCTCTATTGTGCTGTGAGAATATGCCAAATATCTTTTGCTTCTGTATGCCCTTGGTCTTTAAATATACAGAACTATAAGAACAAAACCAGATTAAAACAAAGGTACGTACACATCTTTTGTGATGTGGAAACGACTATCAGAAATGTTTCCACACAATTGTAGTAGTCTGCATAATTATCTGGAATGTAAACAGTGCAGTCATTCTCAAAAAAATAAAATTTTATAGCACTGAAATTAGCTTACCTCCCTGAAGAGTCTCTGCTTCCTTGTCTCCACTAACTGATCCAGAAATCATATTTACATGGTGAGTCTGCTGTGTAAGATATTCCTGAAAATCTTTTACAAAGTCCAAAGGTTCTGGCTTCTTTTCACCCATATTCACTCTTTATGTTTACAACCTCTTGCGCCTAGAAGGAAAAATATTTTCAAAACACAAGTGTCACTGAATTTGAATGCATTCATAAAAACAAGTTTGGTTTTTAGGGTTTTTTTTAAGTGAAGGATTACTTTTATCATACAGCATGACTCAATGCACCAATTGACAACCATAAGGATATTGTTTTTCGAATTTTTAACTCATTAAAGATCACCAAATACATATTACTGGGGTGATTACTGTTGATTACTGTTCTTACAACATAAGAACAACATCAAATTGCATAAAATGACATAATAATCAAAATCAACTTGTCTTTTTTTTTTTTAATGGATCGTACCTGAATTTCAGTTCCCTGCTAAGTAGCAAACATGCTCCAAAATGTACTCCCAACAGGTCAGACAGAAAGCACAGAGCACAGCTTCTCCACTTTCCCTGGAAGGAAAAAAAGGAAATGTAGGCCCATTATTCTTCCCAACCCCCATGAGTTGTAAGAAAGAAACTTGAAGAAATATATATGTTTTAAAAGACAGGTTCTAACACTCTACTGCTATAAGTTTTATTAAAACAATTACACTTCTGGCAAAAACTTTTCAAAGACTGCCTCCACTCCTTCACGTATCTCACTGAAAGGCACTTCTATCTCACTGATCATTTGAATAGTTTCTCTGGTGAACCTGTGGCTCCAAAAAATCCCAGAGTTGGGTAAGTCAGTTATGGCAACTGTAATGTTGGGGAAACCAACCAAATGTCGCTGACTAGCAAAGATGGAAAGAAGCCTTATAGAAAGCAGTATTTCATAATTCTCCCAAAATTTTAGTTTCCTGTCCTGCATAAAAGTCTTAATCCATTTCATTATTTTGCATTGAAATAATAAAAATATTCACTAGAAGTCATTGGTTGTGCTCTTTTCTGGGACTGTAAATGACAAACCTCTAGAGTCTCAATTTGCAATGAATTTGTGAAGATAGAACTTAGGATTCAGTTGGAAAGAGGGCAATGAGTAAGTCACATTATTATTCCTACAGATTATAAGCAGAAATAATTTATAATGCTACATTTTCAGTAAGAATATCTTTTTGTTTTCCAATAGCTACTAAACAAAGCATTAGGTGACCTACAAAAACTCAAGTCCTTAGTTCAAGACCACATTTAGACACATTCTCCTGTATTTTCAAAGTTATTTACAAGTGTTAGTTCATTTCTGGCATCCAGATGAGTATGCTGTTTCACGTCATGCCTAAGTGTGCTCAACTACTATCATTATTATCACCATTAAGTTAGTTTTGAACACATCCTTACGTTATCAATTTTGCCTACCCTCTTTCAGGTGTCACCAGCCTCGTGTAGGCTTAAGTTAATTTGTGTTCCATTTGTTGGTGTCTCCTGCAATAAAACAAAGGTATCAAGATATGAATTAAAGATATGGAAGAGAGAAACAGGACAATGTAATGTAGAGCTCTGTCCAGGCCAACTTTCACCAAATTATAAGAAATAACAATTTAAAATTAAGCCATTCTAAATGTTGAATAGTTCAACATGAAACAACGTTAAAGGTCCATATTTTCACAGAAGAATCTGTGTATCCCTTTGTGTAAGGCAGAAAAACTTATTTGACCGATTATTTTTATAATGACACTTAATTTTTAAAGAAAATTACACAAAATTTTAAAAAGCTGATTGGGGAAAAGACATTATTGTGGTGATCAACTGCATAAAACTTCCTTTCTCTACCTCATCAATTTGATTTGAAAAGAGTCATCCTTTTTTTTATGTCAATGTAGGTAAATTGCCACAATTTAAGCACCCCCTCAAACCTCTACGTTTGTATGCACAAAAGAACCTTTTGTGATTTTATGTGGTATTTTTTATAGCTATACAACCAGCAGTTCTCTTTTCAGGGAAGAACGATACAGATCAGATGCTTGCTACATTGCTACTGCAAGCTAGTAAATGCAATTCCAATTATGAGAAACCCGAGCAGACCAGCTCGCATTTCATGCACTTGAATGGGCTGATCACACTAGATCTTCCTCAAGTTCTACTTATACAGAACATTTTCTGCACAGACAACTACATCTTCTCCAGCTTTATACACTGACGGGTAGAATACTGGTTATTCGTTTTCTACACAGGCGCAACTGCTGGATTTAACACTAGTTACAGTGCTGATGTGTACTAAGTTTACTGTCTAAGAAGCGCCACAGGATGTGCTAGGGTGAGAGGCGTTATAAATATTTTGCTAAAGAAAATAATTCAGACACGATAAAACCAGTACTTGAACATATGGTAAGAACTCATACTGCAGTAATTATAAGAGAATAAAATAATATGACTACGACCACATGTATGCATCCCGTTTTCTTTTAACAAATTAAGGGGGGGAAAAAAAAGGGCGATGTCTCTGCCCCAGTTTCATCTTTTCCAGTGCAAATGACTTAAAATTACCATAACGAAGGAGAAAGGATCGCAAACTCTACCCAAGCCCTTCCTGCTCCTTCCCAAGGAGTTTTGCGCGTGGGAAGGGGAAGAGGAACCGCAGCGCTGGCGGTTGCCGGGCCCAGCCCCACGACCTGTCATCAGCCACGGAAAATCGCCGCTTGCTCCACCACCCCCTTTCCACGCCA